AGGCTATCCATATGATACCATACTGAACTACCACAAGTCTTAAGCGGTGTACACACTATAATTTTTGAGTGACACTTTCGATAACTTATCGGTTGTTACAGTTTTGTTGTGTTGTTTGTAGCGGCCATATTATCATTCATGCCTTCTTTTAAACCGATATTCAAATTTATAAATTGTGCTAATAAGACGCCGTAAAAAGGAAATATATTTATAGAAATGGATGATAAAAAATTGGATGTTAATTTTTAATAATAATAATCAAAAATAGGCTACGAATTTTATTATTTTTTTGTGAGATGGTTGTTGACCATTATGTGGATTTTTATGGGAGATTTTTTTTGATAAATCAGCTTAAATACAGTTCGCTCGAAATTGTCATTCGGATCATAAATGTGACCCATACTTTGTTTACAATTTAACATCAACAGACGACGGCCATGCATAAATCTACTCAGAAAGTGATTCTGTGCATGTATCTACCTCCTTTTTTCATTTTGTTGTTGTATAAATTACCCTAAGTAAAAAAGTCCTAGGGCAGAGAAATGTGAAAGAATCTCCTTGCCTGTCTACTTTTGTGTTTTGGGATCACGATAAATGTCTGTGAAGAGTACAGTCTTGGCGGTATTATCATAGATCAGGAACATAAATGGATGATTACATTCGAATTTGGTTGGTTCGGCAGGACGTGCTGAACGAAAACTGAAAACAACTGTGGCTGCTGCAGCAGTACTGCCCTCCCCATCAACCTAGATTTTGGCAACATGTTTGGCATCGCCAAACATCAGGCTTGTCTCCGTGGAGAAGCCACTCAAGTTTGCGGTATGCTCGAACAGATTGTTGATGCCCAATTTGCGTAGAATCGGTACCAATTCCAAATTCTCCACGTTTATGCCTCATGGGTACGAATACTGGCAAGGGGTGGTATAGAAAATCTCCTGTTTTGTATTTTTGGAATCGGATTTATCCGACCATTGAACCTTGAAATAGGCAGCATTAGCCAAAACCATTTGACTGTCGGAGGTAACATCACAGGGATTTAACATTTCGGGGATTTCATTGCGTGTTACATTTGCAATCCAGTTGTTGATTTCCATGCGTCCCTCTTCGGCTTTGGTTCTGAAGTCCAACGATTCAAGTTCATCTTGGAAATTCAACTTCATGCAGGCTGCCAAATTGATGGACTTATCGAAATAGATAGCAGCGGAGAATTCCAAAGGCATTTTCTTGGCCATTGTTGACATTTTTCTTGTTCTTGGCTCACTGCAGACGTAGTCCCTGAACCAGCTCCTCAGTGCTGATATGCTATCGGTTGGTTTATCATAGCTCTGGAGAAACTTGCACGACTCAAACCACCAAATCTTCGCCTGGTAAATATTGTCCGCTCCAGAAGTATCAGACTGCTTTATTTTTTTGAGTTCCCTTCTGTAGGACGAACGAATTGTGTTGATTTTTTTTCACGTCGTCCACAGTACAATTTTTTATACTCTTTCAATTTATGTAGCAGTTCTCCATACGATTTCATTTTAATGTCGCGTGACATGTACTCTGGACTGGTTATGTCCCAGAGACACAGTTGCATTTCATAGCAACATAGGAATACTTTTAAACATTCGTTTTCGGAGTCCATGTTATTGTTGAAATTTATAGTCTGACTGTCGTTTTTTTATGTTCACATTATCGGACCAACAAACATCCAACATCTGAATGTCACGCAACCATAAATTTTTTTGTGGTTGCCTGACGACTGAAAGAAATTAACGGCCACATTGGCAAGCAAACCGATATTTCAGCAAGAGTGTCATTCTAAAATGATAGTGTGTACACCGCTTTAAATTTTCTGCGAAACTAATTGCTACAATGCACTATAGGTAATTTGGACAGTTTTTTAGGCAAAAAGTAATTTTTCAAATTTTGGAAAATAATATATTTTTTGGTGGCAATAAGCAGAAAACATTTCAAAATTTATGGTTCTGTAAGATTTTTTGCGTAGAAGTGTCTTAAAAGCGGTGGAAATCAAAGCCAAACCCTACACTTTGAAAATTTATTTAAAGAAATAAAAAAAATTCAAAATATCAAATCGTATTTTAAAACGTTTTAAACCGCTAAATACAAAGCACAAACATAAAAATTAAACATGGAGATTATTTGCTGTGGTGTGTGCTGTTTATTTAGTATATAATATTTGTTAATACGTTTGTGTAGCGATTCAATATTTACATAGTTGACCATAATAAAATAAATGTGTTTATTTTTTACACATAAGTCATTTTAGGTAGATTTTTACTAAAATGTTTAAATTTGTCTGACCTTTTGACAACTGTAATATATAAATGAAAGCCTTCTAAATCGATTCCAATAGGTCTCAAATTGCGATTTTTTTGCGTTTTTAAGATATATCCATTTTTTGTAGAGAACTTCAGAATAAAAAAAAAATAAAATTTTCGATATTGGGTTTGACGAAAGAAATAAAAGCAAAGGAACATATTGTTGTTAACAACGTCCCCACAAACAGAAAGAATTACACGGAGGAAAAAAAACGCCTCTCTAACATATGTCCCAAACATATTTTGCAGCAAACATATATATGTTTGCAACAGTCACAAACATAACATATGTTTGGGTCCCAAACATAATATATGTTTGCATCCAAACATATTTATGTTTGCATCCAAACATATTTATGCTTGCATCCAAACATATTTATGTTTGCATCCAAACATATTTATGTTTGCATCCAAACATATTTATGCTTACATCCAAACATATTTATTTTTGCTTCCAAACATATTTATGTTTGCATCCAAACATATTTATGCTTGCATCCAAACTTATTTATGTTTGCATCCAAACATATTTATGTTTGCATCCAAACTTATTTATGTTTGCATCCAAACATATAAATTTTTAGGTGTATTTGTATACTTACGCCATACATAAGGGAAATCAAGTTTTAAATAAAATCATATTTTTTACATAGTTTATTTCATATATATATATATATATATATATATTTTTAATTATAAACATAAATTTATATATATTAATATGATTATAAGTATCTATAAAGTTATATATATGTATATATAATTTCAAATATAAATAGACACAATATATATATATATATATATATATAGATATATTTCAATGTCTATTTATATTTGAATTTAAATATTTACCTTTATATCTATATTAACATTTTGTTGGGTTGTCTTTCAGACATTCGTCAATTATGGCCTTTGAGATATTTACCATATCTTATTAAATCGTACAAAACCTATATGAAAATAAAATATGTAAATATATTATTCAAAAAAAAAAAAAAAATAATAATAATAAATGCAGTATTCTTACCTCCAATCTGCAACTCAATTTGAAATGTTGGTGTTGACACACACTGAAGAAGATTTTTTTTCGAACAAAGCTATAGCTTTGTTTGTTATATGTGTAGTTGCTTATAACCGTTGTTCGTTATATCCGGTTTCTACTGTGGAAATCTGCGTTTTCTCTTTCTTGTACATAACACCGCTGTTATTAATTTTTGCCTCAAAAACAGGGCAAATTACCTATAGTGCAATGTCAGAATATAACAAGAAATCAACGATGTTAAGTTCGCCCCGACCAAATTTTTCATAACCTCCACCATGACAATGGCAATCAAAATATGTAAAATTAATGGGGGCTCCTAGGAGAAAACTCATGTTATGAATGGACCATGAACATACCAAAAACTACGTGAGAAAAATATATTGAAATTCTCAAAACCTCTAATAGTGGGGCTACCGTTATATGGGGTTATAATTAAACTGAGTGATATTTGACAGCCAATGAGTTTACAAAATACCAAATTACAGTCAAAAATCCTAATTTTTGGGGTAACATATTAAGGGGGCTGCACTGTAACGTGGATCAATATTAAAAATTTTAACCCAAAACACAAAATTAAAGCCAATTAAACGTGTCAAAAAAGGCCTAGAATGGCGAATACCGAGACATACCGTTTTTGGTACGGTGATGTGTCATTTAATGAGAACCCAAAATACGAAATTGCAGCCAAATTACTATCATTGCAATTTCATCCCCGAAATATCATCCTTTCAAACCTATAGATGCCGCATTTTACCATAACCGCAACTTTGTGCAAAATTGCGTAGCTATGATCTAGTGATTGAATAGAACTGTAGGTCTTCTTATTGAGGAGCTGTAGGTCTTCTTATAGAAGAGCTGGAGGTAAATATCTACGTATAGCTCCCCACCCGGTCTGTGTCCTTCTAGAATAAATATATACGACACATAATGCAAATTTTACATTTTTTCACATAAAAGTCTTGGTCAATATGCTTATTCATTAGAGTTTCCCCCATGTACAATTTTGTGACCCCTAGAGAGACCATAAAAACATATAAAATGCTTTTGGTTTACTTCAACAGCCAAACATTGACCAATTTTACCAAACACAGTAAGTGTCTTCACTAGCCAGAACAGGATATGCAAAATATCCTAGCAATTGTTTCATTGCTGTTTAAAAATTTTAATGGACAGATACATATATCTATATCGAATCAGCTATTCTATATGACGATCCGTATACTAAAATATGAGACCAGGACCAATATTTCGTGACGTTGTAAACTGTTGGAACACAAACACTTATAATCGTATTAAGGTATATATAACTTGCAATGAAATATAGATCTCATTTTAAAATACAACAAATATATATATAATAATATTTAGCCACTTTTTCAACTAAATCTAGCATTTTTTTAATCAAGTTTTGGCATCACTGGTAATACTTTTACATTGATTTGATTCTGAATTGTAAATGTACAATATACATAATCCATATACTTATACATTTTCTAAATATTGGTTGAATTTAAGTTTCAACACATCAGTCTGATAATGGTTTCAAAACTAAGACAAACATTTTATACAAAAAAAATCCAAATTTAAACAATCGATGCCATATATACTATATTTTCCGAAAGTAAAATTTTACACTAAACAATATTTCGTGGTTTGAGTTCCAAAGAAAATGTTTTAGTTGGGAGTGCAACACATGCGGGTATTGTTCTAACACTTGCCAAATTCGAAGCGACTACATTGTATTTTTGTAGAATGTTCGCGAGCATAATAAATCCGAACCCACGAACTAGACTTTGGCCAATGCACGTTCTTTTGCCTATGCTAAAAGGTAAAAAATGAGGAATGTTTTTCTTTAGGCGTATTTCATTTTTGTTATTATTGTTTGAGCTGTCGACGTAAAGCCGAGTATTTGTCGAATTTTTGTTTTTGTTTCTTTCAGGAGTTAATGAGTCATCGACTTCAAATTCAACACCTGAATCTGCACCATCTGAATATCTCCTCTTTGTCAACATTCGTGCATCGTTTGTTGCATCCAAACCATCAACATTTCTGTTATCCAAAAATCTTTCGGGTTGAAATAAGTCCGGATTTTTCCAATATGTTTTTGATCTATTTAGCTTGTAATTATTTATTAAGACTATAGTCCCCTTAGTAACACCGTAATTGGAGACAATTGTATTTTCAGTTGCAACGTGAGGAACGATAGGTGACGAAGAAAATCTCAATACCTCCGATATGGTGGCCATTGTATATGGCATGTTTTCCATATCGTAAAGATTTATAATTCGTTTCCCCTTTTCCGATATTTCGTCTGCTTCTAATTGAATTTTTTTTCCAATTGCATTGTTATGTGCAACATGTGCCAATGTTATCATTACTAAATTTCCAATTGCAGAATGACCTCCAAGAAAATCTTCCAGCATATATATAATAGTTTCCCTGGAAAAATTTTTATCTTCGAACACAGTTTTCAACAGAACACTAGTAAAGTCCATATCCGTTTCGACACGGTCATGCTGTTGTTCTCTGCCACTGATAATACGCTCAAGAATAAATTTTCTAATTGTTGTGGACCATTTAACTATACTGTCCGTGTGATTTTTATAAACTGGTGCAAGCCACGGTAAAAAGTCGACTGCATATCCTTGATTTATCTCCCAAAATATTTCATCAAAGGAGTTAACAAATTTTTGAAACTCATCATCATTATAGTCGAATCTCACAGAACACATATACTGTAAAAACATATTTGCACTTGCTTCCTGGATAATTGGTTTTATGTTGTGTTCTTTGCCGGGCAAAAATTGTTCATTTAATGTTTTCAATAGAGTGGCAATTTCGGAACATGCGACGTCGGACATCTTTGCGAAAAATAACGAAGAACTCCTGGGAGAACAATGCCTACGAGCAATGTTTCTCCTCTTCTGTTGCAGAGAAGACCAGTCACAGAGAGCCAGGGCTAAAACAAATATCTTTTATTGTTATTATTTGGTTTTATTTATGTTATAAAAGTATATTAATGAAACCATTGGGACGACCATGCAATACCCTACACAACATACCCGGAGCTTATAATCTAAGAATATCCTCAAAAGTTTGTATAGGTTTTTTAGGGTATGCTTAAAGTGACATTGTGATTTAAAGGAAAACGAACACAAATAGTAATAGTTGCTTGTTTTTTCGGGCAAATATTCATTTGCAACAAATTGGTAAGAACAAACAAAGGCATAGATTGGCTTTCCGGATTCCAGGTGAATGTGAAAAACTTAAATTTTCAGAATTCAGGGATTTCCATGATTCTATACGTTAAATTGCCCATCCCAGTTTCCATTCTGAGTGTCTGTAATTCATTACTCCCATTTTCCAAACAAAAACGAGTAAAGTCGGACGGGGCCGACTATATGATACCCTTCACCACTATGGGTATATTAAACAGGACTATTAACATGAAATTGGATGAACTAAAATATGTGATATTTATCTAAATGTGAATCGACTTAGATCAATCCATAAACATGTCATTCGTTTGTTACAATGGGACAATAGTATTTAAATCGACTTGAAACCAATATCACTTGGACATCCTTTGGGCTATGTATGTATTTCTAGAACTACGTAACTACGATATTCTATGCACAATTTTAATCTATGCACAATTTTAACTCAGCACACATCATTCCAGACTCAATTCAGTACGCTATGCCAAATTTCATGCAAATCGAAAATATGTAGGGGCTTTGGTGCACCATTTACATTAAATCGGACGAAAATATATATGAGACCTACATCTAAATCTAAGCCGAATTCAATTCAGTATGCCATGCCAAATTTCGTGCAAATCGAAAGATATATAGGCACTTTGGTGCACCATTTGCATAAAATCGGACGAATCTATATATAGGAGCTGTATTTAAATCTGGAGCGATTTTCACGAAACTTGGCAGACATCATATTAGGCTCTATTCAGTACGTTATGCCAAATTTCGTGCAAATCAAAAGATATATAGGGACTTACCTAAAATCGGACAAAACTATATATGGGAGCTATATCTAAATCTGGACCGATTTTTACGAAACTCGGCAGACGTCATATTAGGCTCAATTCAGTACGTTATGAAAAATTTCGTGCAAATCGAAAGATATATAGGGACTTTGGTACACCATTTACATTAAATCGAAAGAAAATATATATGAGAGCTATATCTAAATCTGGACCAATTTCTCCCAATTTCAATAGGGTTCGTCCTTGGTGCAAATAAGTGACCTATGCCAAATTTCATCCAATTCGGATCATAAATGCGACCTGTACTTTGTTTACAATTTAACATGGACAGACGGACATGCATAAATCGACTTAGAAAGTGATTCTATGCATATTCTCAAAAGGAACCATGTGTCTATCTCGTTTCCTTTTGCCTGTTACAAACATATGCACAAAGACATAATACCCTGTACCACAGTGTGGTGAAGGGTATAAAAACTTTTCAAGATGCGATGGTAGAGTGTATAAAGTTTCAAAATGTAACAGTACCAAATATTTTCCTTTCATACTGTTTCAAAATGTCGCTGCCGCTTATTTGCAACGCAGATAAACAGATGCACAAAAGTATACTCTTAGTAAAAATATTAATACGTGTAACAAATGTATTTTTCAGGTCTCTCTTTTTTAATTGTTTGGTAAGTATTAAAACACATTTTTTTCTTTCAAATAACTTTTATAAACACGTCGAACAAGGTATATTAAGAAGGTAACCGTATTAAACCAGGTTATGGTGACCTTAAATGCCACAACAATTTTTTTGTTTTTAATTTGCTCTAAAAATTAAAAATATTAATTTAAAACATTTGAAAATAAAAAAGTGGAAAGGCGTTAAGTTCGGCCGGGCCGAACTTGGATACCCTCCACCATAGATATACTGACAGGTATTTGAAATATAGAGAACATACCAAAAAGTGGACCTATACCGACATTTAAAAAAAGGGATTATGTAAACCATAATACAAATTTCAGAAATGTTTAATGGATAATTATACCCTCAGCCTTATGGCTAATGAGGGTGTATACAATTTAACACTGTGAAAATGAGCCTCATCGAAATATTGGTTCTAGACCCCATGTTTCTTTGGACCAAATCCGTTTCAGAAAATTTTAGATTTCATTTAAACTTTGCCCATCTTATTATTTCTTCCAAACTTAAGTCAAATTCAAAGATGGGGAATATCGGTTCACTTCTTCTGGAACCTCCACACAGGGGCTAGGTCTAAATACGGCTATAGTTCATTATCGAACCTTACGTTATAATTTTTTATCTCGCTATCATCCGCAGGAGAAATGATTACAACAGAGTCTTAGAACCAAACACAAAACGCGGAACAAATCTGATATCTATTTTAATATAAACAAGTGAAAAAGCGTTAAGTTCGGCCGGGCCGAACTTTGGATACCCTCCACCATAGATATACTAAAAGGTAGTTCAAATGAAAATGTAGGGAAAATACCAAAACCATAATGTGAACCATGTTCCAGAAAATGTTGATTTCATCCAACCTGTGCCTATCTTATTATTCTTCCAAACTTAGTTCAGGTTCGAAAATGTGGACTATCGGTCCACTCCCTCTGATACCTCCCACACAAGGGCTAGGCCTAAATGCGGGTTATAGTTCATTATCGAACCTTACGTTCTATCTTTATCTCGATATCCTCCGCAGGTTAAATGATTACGACAGACTCTTAGAACCAAACCCAAAACGCGGAACAAATTAGATAACTATTTTAATATAAAAAAAGAGGGTTATATGGCGACTACCCTAAAAAGGGGGCGTATATAAATAATTTTTGTAGGGAGATTTGTTACCATATACGACTACAAAATACCAAATTTCAGTGAATTCGGTTGAAAAACGCGTTCAAGAACCCCAAAATACCGAATATTGGGGGTACCCTTATATGGGGGCTACCCGAAAAAATTGACCTATATTCTAAATTTTTTGTGGAGAAATTTGGTACCTATTAAGAACTCAAAATACTATTAAGAACTAAAATTATTCGGTGGAAAAATACGATCAAAACCCCCAAAATACTGAAAATTAGAAGGTGCCGTTATATAGGTGCTACCACAAAATACCGAAAATTGGGGGGTACCCCTATATGGGTACCCCCAGAAGATAGCGTGATTACAACAGACGGACGGATGGACGGACGGACATGGCTAGATCTTCTTAGAATTTTACCCTGATCAAGAATATATATACTTTATAGGGTAGGAAATGAATATTTCGATGAGTCACAAAGGGAATGACAAAATTAATATACCCTCCATACTATGGTGGTGGGTATTGAAAGGGGGTTATATGGGGACTACCCCAAAAAGCGGGTGAATATTTTTGGTAGAGAGACCACAAAATACCAAATTGCAGCTAATTCGGTTAAAAACGCGCTCAAAAACCCCAAAATACCGAAAATAGGGGGTACTGTTATATGGGAGCTATGACTAAACATGGACCGATATATCCCATGATCGAACTAGACCTGCCTGCAGACAAAAGACAACCCTATGCAAAATTTCAGCACCCTATCTCAATTCCTTCAGAAGATAGCGTGATTACAACAGACCGACGGAGATGGCTAGATCGTCTTAGAATTTTACCCTGATCAAGAATATATATACTTTATAGGGTCGGAATGAATATTTCGATGAGTTACAAACGGAATGACAAAATTAATATACCCTCCATAATATGGTGGAGGGTATAAAAGAACAAAAAAGGAGAAAAAGTTCTACATCGAAATTGGCCATTGAGAGGAGACATTGGGATTTCCAAAAGAGGACCATTTGTCCGTAACGAAGACTTCGGGATGGAACCACACCTTATTAGCCGTAGATCATTTGTATATCTGTCGTAAACTAAAATAGAATCGAAATTTAACAAGGAGAGATGGGCTTCAAGCTGCAAAAAAGGTTCCCTAACCAGAAAAGAAGGCCTGTCGAATGTTTCTATTTATAGAAGATCGGGCTTTATAAGATTATATGTTTTTCTTCGATAAGAATAATGTTTTGAACAAATGAATTTGTGGGTCGATTATGGATATCAACCAGGAATGGTCCGTTTCGCGAATTTTTAGGTTTTCGACTGTCAAAAAGGTGTAAACGTCGAAAACGTCATATACCTGTATAAAATGTAATAAATGTAGTAAACGTCATTAATTTCATATTACCAGTATATACAGTTATTTTCAAGAATATATATACTATTCCTTACTAGAACTGATGTAAATTTTTAAATTTTTGAGAAGAAAATTTTGATATTTTATATTAATTTGAGTAATGCATGCGTAATTTCCAAATTGGTTAATGGAAATAGCTATTTTGTCAAAAACCAAGTGGATTTGGGTAGGTTTCCGACGTTTCTGACGTATGTATTATACGTCGGAAATGTATGTCATTTACGTCATTGTTTCTGACCGGCCATCTCTGATAGCAACCAAACTCCAGTTGCGATTTCAACTGGCAAAGCCACCGAAATATAACTTAACATTATGAATATCAACTTTTCTCAGTTGCTGTCGATAATACTGTTTTGACACTTCCGGAACTAGAAATATTGTAAAAAAGCAAAAAATTGAATAGAATATTTCAGAAAAACTAATTTTAAGTGATGATAAGCTAATTGGAACTATTTTTTGATGATGAAAATGATGTCCAAGACGTATCATCTATTAGAAGGCATTTAAATGATAAATTCAATCCATTAGAACTACCATCCGTACTACCGTGAGTAGATGTTAATGATTAGAGAAATGTTGAATCAACTGCTCATTTTAGTTTTGAGGCGTATTTTCGGCTACAAAAAGATGCTGTTG